CTTCTGGCACCCCATGCCATGTGTCAAGATCCCATTTGCTTGGGGATAGGAAAAGCAGACGTTTCTCACCTTTTCTACCCTCACCCTTGTTCATAGGGGCAACTGTAACTCAAGGTCTGGAGGTGTTTATGCTTAAGAGAAGAAATTGTAACGCAGTTCACTAGGAAGACGAGAAACAAAAGAAAGCCATTATGGGCTATGTAAATGGCTAGCTGTCCAAGGCCACCTTCAAGAGCCCTGGAAGGACCTTGATAAACTTATAATTATTATCAGGTCTCTGTGTGGTTATTCATGTTATCCCTCAACATAGGAAAAAGATCAGCATTTTACCAAATTCACAAGCATCGAATAAGAGCTTCAGTATTGCTAAAGAAAATCACACAGCTGGGCAGATTGATGTAGATCTGAATTCATGACCATCAACCTCAGCTGGACCCCTCAGCCCTGCCTATCTAGTTTCCACTCTAATTACTAGTTTCCATTCTTTGCAATGACCGTTTCATACTTTCTGTACCTTCCTCAAGTATCTGACGCCCTCCACCTTCCACACTCCCACTTTCAGTAGATGACTCATTCTTCATAAAGAAATCTGAAGGTATCAGATAGAAATTTCTTCACCTTCAAGGCCTCAAGTCCCCAACTTACCTCTGTTCCTGCCTGCTTCTCTCCCCATCCCTTCTGTTACAACAAAGGGAGCATTAATGGCTCCATCAATGGCTTCACACACTGTACCAGAGGCCTTCAAACTAGGGCTTGCATTCTCACAGGGACATGAAGACTTCCAAAAGGTAGGCAGACACAGACTGTTTTTAAGGGAATCAATTTCCAGAGCTTCCTCCTTCATATGTTCCTTCTCATGTTGACCAGCCTAAGAAGGAGCCTCAGGTCAGCCACTTCTCCTCGATCTCCACTTTCCCAGCTGACCCCCTCCATTTTGAATCCTAGTCTGGCACATCGCTCTGCAGTATAAAACAACAAAAGGACTACTGAAGAATACTCTGCTTTGAAGAAGTCCTTGAGAGAGCAAAGCCTAGAGAGCTTCTTTGAGAAGTTTCGAAGGGGGCAGCCCTGTAGCTCAGTTCTGTGCCCTCTCCATTTAATTTGATTTATTTTAATTGAAAAACAAAATTAGGGGCGGCCGGTTAGCTCAGGTGGTTGGAGTGCCGGTTCATAACACCATAGTTGCCGGTTTGATCCCCACATTGGCCACAGAGTTGCGCCCTCCGCAACTAGATTGAAACAACTACTTGACTTGGAGCTGATGGGTCCTGGAAAAACACGGTTCTCCAATAATATTTTTTTAAAAATCAAAATCTGACTTTTTCTGACAGAAAGTCAATCTGATTTGGCTGATGGGTTTGTTACAGAGGACTGTCTTTGCAAATAGGATATATGGTGGATAGTTTCCAGAAATGGAATCATTTAAGTCTGAAACTTTGTGGTTTGAACAAAAATATATTTAAAGTACATATACAACTTCCCCTTCCAGCCAAGATGGAGTGAGTAGCAGGGACCAGATTTACTCTCCTTTCTGAAACAACCAACCAAACAAAAAATATGTGGCATAAGACAACAAAGGACAGTGATCCTGGGTGGACAAGAAGCAAATGAGATGAGCCCTATGATTGCGCAGCTTACTGCTTGAGAGAGTTTCCAGGATATATTGCAGGGAGGGAGAACCCAGGCAAGGCCATCCAGACTTCCTGAACTGAGGAGATAGCTCAGAGTTTGGGGCAAACAAGGTAGCTAGAAGGCTCAGGACAGAATACTGGAGTGGAGAAAGGTGCACAGAGAGAGAATTCTGGAGATCTGCAAAGGGCTTCCCTCAAGTATTCAGGAGCACACTGCTCATCATATAAGTGTGAGGAAACTAGTTGAGACCAAGGAAAGAACCACCAAAATGAATAAGGGAACAGTAGACACTAGTCACACAGGGGTGGAACATTAACTATTCCTATTAGCCAGACTGGACAACATCATAATTTATGGAGCATTGGTTAGAGTTCTCAGAAGAGTCTTGCCTCTATAGTGAGGACTCATTAGCCCTATTTTAAACACTGCTCATTCCCACCTAACGAATCTTAAAAGCAAGACCTGACAGGATCAAACTATTACTAAGTAATGTAACTGCATCCCAGAACAAACCTCCAAAATATTTACAGGAACACAAAAATAACCAGCACCCAAAAACATAAAATTCACAATGTTTAAGGTCTAATAAAATTACCAGTTATGCAAAGAAGCAGAAAAATACGACCCAGAGTGAGGAGGAAAATCAATTGACTCAGAACTGACACCTATATGAGAATTACCTGACAAGGACATCAAAACGATTATTCTAACTGTATTTCATATGTTCACATAGCTAAGTAGAAACTTGGGAGACATTTTTTAAATACCCAAATTGAACTTGTAGAGATGAAAACTAAAATGTCTGAGATGAAAAATCACTGGATGAAATTAAAAACAGTTTAAACACTGCAGAAAAAAGATTGGTGAACTTGAAAACATAGCAATAGAAATTATCCAGAATGAAATACAAAAAAAAACACACAAAAACCAAAACAAAACCAAAAAAACAATTTTAGTAATGAATAAAGAGCACACATAATACATAATAGGTAGAAAGTGTGTCCCTTACAAATATTTAAAATTATGAAAAAATTTAGGCATCAACTACAAATGGGTGAGAGGGTACATTGTTTCTTTTTGTTTGTTTGTTTTATTATTTTGTGGGGGTACATGAACAAAAGAATTTGAAGATGCTGCTGTGGACCCCAACTTCCTTTCCTCTTTCTCTATGGCTTTGCTCCTTTGAGCCCCTCTCCCCTCCGGAGCACCCTTTTCGTCCTCTTAGCTGACTTCCGCTAGTATCTGCATCTTTGAGATTCTCCCCAACCCACCTCCAGTTACTGCCATTCACTACTCCATTCACAAACTCTCTATACCTGCCATCTCTGCTTCCTCATCTCTCATGTACTCTTCAACCTGTTCCAACATGGCTTCTCCACCAAACCTCTCCACCAGAATCTCTCTTCCTATACAATGACTAATTTGTTACTAAATTAAAGGATCCTTTTTATTTCCCATCTTGCTTGCCCTTTCGGTTATTTTCAACAGTTCACCACTTCTTCCTTCTTAGCCTCTAAGATACTACCCTTTATTTGTTTTCTTCTCACCTCTCTGGCACCTCTTTATCAGGCTCCTTGGATGGCGCCTTTTTTTTTTTTCAGCTGAGCCATCCTGCCACCTGTTGGCAGCTCAGCAGCAGCTCAGGTTGGGCCAGGAATTGAACTGGCGACCCTGTTGCTCAGAGCTCGCACTCTTGAGCGAACTCTTTTTTTTGTTTTGTTTTGTCTTGTTTTAATTTTATTGTTAGTTTCAGGTGTTTGAGCGAACTCTTAACCAATTGAGCCACTTGGCCGGTCCTCCTGGCACCTTTTTATTGTAATTTCTAAATGCTGCTGTCCCTGTCCTTGGCCCTAAGTCTCTCTGTATACACTTTCCCCCTTAGTGATCTCATCCATATTATTGTGGATTTAAATGCATCCATATACACATGACTCCCAAGAGTGTATCTCCAATCTAGACTCTCCTCTGGGCTCAAAGCTTATATTTCCAACTGCCTGCTTGATAGTTTAAACACTTGAATGTCTCACAGGCATTTCAAGTTTACCATGTTTAAAACTAAACTCTCAATCTCCCCCCCCAACACAAAACAGTGACTACCCCACACAATTATTCAAGACTGGGAGTAATCCTTAATATCTCCTTATCTCTTATCTCTCCTCCCCCCCACCCCCACTTCCAATCTAGCACTGAGTCCTGAGATTCACCTACTAAAGCTAATCTTAAATGTGTCTGCTTCTCTCCATTTTCACTAATACCACCACCATCATGGCCAAGCCGCCATCATCTCTCACTTGAATGATGACAGTAGCCTCCCAGTTGTCTCCCTAGTTCCACTTTTGTTTCCTTCAATCCATTCTCCCCAGGAGTAGCCAAAATGACCTTTTAAAAATATAACTTGAATAATACTCTCTGGCTGTAATACTTCAATGACTTCCCATTACTCTTAAGATAAAATCTAATTTCTTTACCTTTGGCCTACAAAGGCTGCCTTTCTTCCAGCTTTCTCTGTACCATTCTCCTTTCATCTTTCAGTCCCTTCTAGGAGAAAAGCCCATTCCTGCCTTAGGACTTTGCATTTCTGTCCCCTCTCCCATTGTTCTTCTGTGTAACTCCCACTCATCCTTTGTTAATCAAACATGACTCAGATGTCTTCCCTGACTCCCCAATTTAAACTAGGTCTCCCTGCTTTTCTCCCTCATGATACATTGTACTTTTCCTTCATAGTTCTACTAGTTGATAAATATATATTTATTTGGTGTTTGTTCAGTTTTATTGAGATACAATTGACAAGTTCCTGTGATTGTTTACTATTTCTAGATTGTAAACCCCAAGAGGGCAGAGCCAAGGTCAGTCTTGATATTTGCTGCACCACCCCCATCAGTCCACTTACTATAGTGGCCTGGCACATGGCAGATGCTCAATAAATATTTGTTGACTGAAACGAATGAGTGAATTAAGTGCTTGAGAACTCTGCCCTGATAGCTAGGAGTAGCTTTGAATCTCTCCTGAAAATCTGGATAAGTGCTATTAAAGTTAGGACTGCGGGTAGGTTCCCCAGGTATTTCAGCCCACAGGCCCTCTTCAAACCTCACTTGCCACTCTCCACCCTGTAATGTGTAGTTTGTGCCCACCCAGACATCCTTTGCTTTTGGCAGTCGGGCATCATGCAATATCCCTGACAATCACAAACCAAAGGATTGTGACATGGACTCTAAACGTGTCTGCGTTTGCGTCCCAAGCCCGGTGGCTCACAGCTCCATTCAGGCCCGCAAAGTGCACCACTCCACTCCCGCGCCCTGACCCGGGGGCTCCAACACCCACCTTTAGGAAGCTCAGGCTCGCGCCTCAGCTCCGACCTTCCGTACAGCATGGCAGCCCCCGAAGGCGTCACCCACAGTAGTGCCCGCCGTACACCATGGCCACCTACAGGGCGCTCACCGCAGCCCCTCCCACCCGGCCACCGGAAGTTTCCATTTGAAACCCAGGCGGCAGACTCCACCAGTAGTACGGCAGTTGCGTTGGAGCATTTTTTGAATCAGAGCGACGAGACCTGCGGGCAGGAGGAGCAGGCACCTGGGTTCGGCTCTCCCGGGGCTGGGGACTGGCGGACGGGATGGGCTGGAAATAGAAGAGTTTTTCTCTCCCGACTCCTCCCCTGAGCCGGGGCAGGCCGGGGCTGGCTCTCTCCTGGCCTTTAACCTGCTGGAGGGGGTTAGGGGTGGGGCGGGGAGGGGTGGTTGGGAGGGTATAGGGGGGCTGGCCCACCATGGGATAACATTCACCTTGCACCTTCCAGCGCCCAGCCTTGCCGCCTCGTTACGATGACCAGCGTGGTTAAGACAGTGTGCACACTGCAGCCTCCCTCTGTGCTGAGTAGCGGCCCGTCCACAGGTGGGTGTCCATGCTGCTCCTCAGGGGAGTATGGAGGATCAAGTCGGTGGCCGGTAGTAACGGGCAGGGGGGAGGGCAGTCTATCAGTCTAATAACCTGCTAACTCCCCCAGAACTGGGCTGTCCAGGTTTATGATGAGAGTTAGGGGAAGGGCCATGCGGTAGGATTTTAGACCTGCCCTGCAACTCTTGCTCCCTCAAACCTAACGGGTGCTACATTCACTAATTAGATGCAAGCTGCTTATTGTTCTACAATATTCCCATTAAGCTAGGAATCCCTTTTTAAACAATTACCCCTTTTATTTCCAGACTTGGGCTATCTGGAGGGACTGGGTTTGTTGTCAGGAAGGAGAAACGAAAGTCATTTGAGAAGCAAGATACTTAGGGGGAAATAGTAGGGTTCCCCGCTGTGTCTGGTTCACATTTGTGTCTGCACAGTGTCTCCCATATAGCACATTTTCAGTAAACATTTGTTGAGTGAAGTGAAAGAGGGGTCAGGTCTAGCTAGAGCATTTGAGAAAAGGGAGAAGAGACATGATTAGAACTTGATTGCTTTGCCATCTTGCTTTATGTTACTTGACTTGTAGTTGAAAGTCATTGCCTAGGGTCTGCAGGTGTCCAGCTCCCTAATCTAGAGACTGTAGCACAGAATAAGCTTCAAACATCAGAACCTGTTGTGGGAGATTTTGAAGCATCTGTGTAAGATCTCTTCCCAGTGACTCCATGCAGCTGGTTGACCAGCAGTAGCAAGATTGATCTGTGAAATAAATAGGCTTTTCTCTGAAGGTTTAATGTTGCTTCAGAACACCTGAATAGTAATCCTGGCATCAGCAGAGCCTAGGAGTGGAGTGGGTGGGGGAACTGGAGCCACGTCTCCTCACTGCCTTTCCCTTAAGAGCGCAGTGCCCCTCGGTCAGTGGGGCATGACTGGCTCTCCCCAGCCAAGTTGAAAGTTTTCCTCTTTGCTTTCTATCCCTGTCCCAGCTTTATGATCATAAGTAACCTCAATAGTTTTAACATTTTTAGGATGTCTCCCAGGTTTTTTGTTTTGATTTTGGGCATGGGTTTGTTGTTTTAGTTTGTTTTTTATTACATTTATTGGGGTAACATTGGTTAATAACATATAAATTTCAGGTGACATAATATGACATCTGTACATTCTATTGTGTGCTCAGCACTCAAAGTCTAGTCTTCTTCTGTCACCATATATTTGACCCCCTTTACCCTCTTCGTCCTCCCCCTCCTTCTCTGATAACCACCAATCTGTTTTATCTATGAGTTTGTTTTTTGTTTGTTCATTTGTTGCTTTTTGTTTTATATCTCTCATATGAATGAAATCATGTGGTTCTTGTCTTTTTCCNTTTATTTATTTATTTTTTATTGTTAGTTTCAGGTGTACAGAACAATGCAATAGTTACCCTTTTCACCCTCACAAAGTAACAACCCCCCTCCCCCCTATAATTTTTAATAAAGTGTATTGAGACTTACCAAAGTATACTAACCTTAAGTGTATAGGTTAATAAATTACTGCCCCCCTCCAGATAGGGGCACTATTCTGACAGAAAATCACCATCTATGAGTATTCTTTTCTTGAGCTTCATGTAAATGGATTTCCTCATTGTCAAATGTGTTGGCATGAGTTGCTCAACATATCCTTTTATTATTTTTTTCATATCTATAGGTCCGAAAGCTGTTCTCTTTATCATTTTTGATATCAGTAATTTGTAATTTCTTTTTTCTTGATCAGTCTTTTTAGAGGTTTATCAATTTTATGTTGTTATTCTTTGTTGTATATAAGCTCTCTTTCATAATTTGTACTCTTATATTTATTACTCATTTCTACCTATATTTGGAGGTTTTTTTTGTTTTTGGGTTTTTTTTTTTAGCTGAGCCATCCTGCCACCTGTTGGCAGCTCAGCAGCAGCTCAGCTCCGGCCGGGCAATGAACCGCTGTTACTCAGAGCTCACCCGCCTGAGCGAGCTCTTAACCAACTGAGCCACTCGGCAGGCCCTTGGAGTTTTAATTTACTGTTCTTTTTCTATTTTCTTAGAAGAGTTGATAATTTCATTTCAATTTCTCTTTTTCAGTTGTTAAAAAAATAAACAGGCCAAAATGGAGTCACTTTTGCTAAACCTGTACACCAAACCAAAACTTAATAACTAACCCAATTGCAGTTTCAGACTCTTCCAGGTGTGGAATTTTTAAACATTCACTCTGGAATTTCTTGGTCAGCATTAGTGAGGTAAACTGCATGGTAAGATGCCATGCCTTTCCCCTAGAGCAGCGGTTCTCAGCCTGTGGGTCGCGATCCTTTGGGGGTCAAACAACCCTTTCACAGGGGTCGCCTAAGACCATCGGAAAACACATATTTTTGATGGTCTTAGGAACCGAGACACCGCTCCTCTATCTGTCTCCAGGCGGGTCCGCCCACATGCAGATACACCCACATACGAGTACCCGGTTTCAAGACAAAATTTCATGTATTTGTAATTAGAAATAAATAATTCACAATATATAACTACATATTGTTTTTGTGATTAATCACTATGCTTTATGTTCAATTTGTAACAATGAAAATACATCCTGCATATCAGATATTTATATTATGATTCATAGCAGTAGCAAAATTACAGTTATAGAGTAGCAACGAAAATAATTTTATAGTTGGGGGTCACCACAACATGAGGAACTGTATTAAGGGGTCGCAGCATTAGGAAGGTTGAGACCCACTGCCCTAGAGGGTATACTTGACTGAAATAATCCACTCTTTTAACTTCTTAGTCCCACACTCTTTCTGCCTATAAAAACCTTCCATTTTGTACAACTCATCAGAGCTCCCTTCTAGTTGCTAGCTGCCTGATAAATGAATTGCTTAATAAAGCTAATTAGATCTTCAAATTTACTCTGTTGAATTTTGTTCTTTAACATAGTATATGCATTGACAACTATAAATTTCCTTCTAAGGGCCAGATAAGCTGCATCTCACAAGTTTTGCTATCATATTTTCTTTATCATTCTGTTTAAAATATTTTCTAATTTCTATTGTGATTTTTTTTCTTTAACGTATGGATAATCTGGCTTCTTGTCTCATTGCTCTACCAAAAGTCTTCACACAAGTCACCAATGACTGCCTATGGGTAAATCCACTGAAGTTTCAGTTTCATTTTGGCCTTTAAGCAGTTGAGGACACTATCAACTACTTCCTTGAAGTTCAGGCTCTTGGCTGTCTGGGGGAGGAACCAACTTTCCTCTACCCTCAAGGTTCTGGCTGGTCTAATAATCAGGTAGACATGAGACAGATTAGCAAAAGGAAATAACCAAATTTAATACATGTGTATGGAAACGCTGCATGTGTGAGTCAGAAACCCCACATGTAGGAGAGGTTCAGAGATAGGAAGGTTGAGGTATATAAGATAACTTGAGCTGGGGATCAGGTAATGCACCTTGGGGGCATCAAAGGGTCCATGCAGGGTGACTAGAGGAGAAGATGTTTAGTAAGTAAGTAAAGGTTTCCCTGTCACATACGTGGGGTCAAAAAGATTATGTCTGGGGCCGGCCGAGTGGCGCGATGGTTAAGAACTGGCTTGGGACGCCAGAGGACCCCAGTTCGGATCCCACATATGAGGGCCAGTGACACTGCCCTCCACANGTCTTCTGACCCAGTCCCTTTGTATAGCCTGTAGCAAAGAGGAGAGCCCAAGAAGGAATTGCCCAAAGCCTGTAAGAGGGCCTCACACTGAATTGGGGAGCCTGAGAATGCCCAGGGGAGCGGCCCAGGCTGCTTTGAATTAAGGAATGCTGACTTTGAAAGCTACTGGTTAACCTGTGCATTTTAGGATATATTCTTTATAGTCACCATATATGTTTTGTATGATTTTAATTTACTGATGCATATGCACTACTTTTACCAAAAATAATAATTTTTAAGGCCTGAAAACTTTTTAAAAATGGTTTTGTGTTTCATAAACAAAAAATAATCCAACCTATACATCTCCTTTGGACACATTTTCTGCTGAGCTGAGGAGAAAGCAGAATGAATTTTGGGCCATATCCAAACCTAGAGAGGAGGGAAATAAAATATAGCTCTGGAGGGCAGGCATGGGTGACCCTGTCAAGGGGAAAACTCAGGCATCTGCCTGGAGAAGTTCTTCTCATGATAATTCCTGTGCTTGTCCTGGAGGGGTTTTATTTTCTGTTGTATAAATACAGTTCCTTAAGCAAGGCTGACTTGTTGTCTCTATCAGTTTTAGGCAGTGAGACTGTGGCGTCACAGCAAGAATCCACCACGGATCACATGGACTCTATGGTGAGGGCATAGGTGTGAGTGAGCGAGGGCCCAGGGACCGTGGGGCTCTGCAACTCTAGGAAGGTCTCTGCCATGTGCTCAGCAAACCCAGAGAAGCAGCCTTTGGTTATCTAGGATAGTGGAAGAGAGCAGTGGCTGTGTACTCCAAATAGCATATTTTACTTAGCAGGTGACTTTGTGCTTACAAATACGGGTGAGTCTGAGTTGAAAACATGCTACTTTAAAGCACATAATAGAAAGGGCCTGTATAGAGAGCTTTCTGGTTTCTCTATTCTACACTTGACCAAGTTTCTCTTCTTATTCCTTTGCTGAGAACTATATGATGCAAAAGTCCAGCCTCAATTAAATTAGGCTTCTCTTTGGTTCCTTCCGTAAGGTAGGAAGGTAATTGTTTGGGATTAAAGCCTTTGAGCTTCTATGATCTCTTCCCCAGGAAGATCAGTTGTCATCTTAGAATCATAGAATACTAGATATGGAAGCCTTCCTCAGCTCTCCCAGGCTATTCGTCACCCATTCAATGGCTACTACGTTTTGTTCGTATTGCCTGTGTAGCGGAGCTCATGGAAGTGGGATAATCTGTCCGTCCTGTGAACTGACTTCCTCCAGGGTGCCCAGTAGAGAGCCTGGCACGTGTGTGGATGCGCAGCAAATGACTGAATGGAAAGGATGTTAGCAATCATCTAATTCAATTCTCCTTTCATACGAAGAGATTAGTTTATGTGAAGAAAATGTTCACATTTCGATAAAGATTTGTTACTACGTTGTACTTTCCTTTTAGTTGCTGTTAGAAACTTTGCAAGATGAGCTGAAGCTTTTTAACGAAACAGCCAAAAAGCAAATGGAGGAGTTACAGGTGAGAGGCGGACATCACCCTGAGGCAAGATTGCCATTTCCCACCGCAGTAGGTAGATCTGAGGGCTCTTTCTTATTTATCTACCTATTTGTTTTTAATAAACTATTTTATAATAATTTTAGATTTATAGAAAAATTGCAAAGATAATAGAGAATTCAATTACCCTAATGTTAACATCTTACGTTATCATGGCACACTAGTCAAAACTAAGAAACCAACTTTGATGCATTACTATTAACTAAGTTCCAAAACTTCATTTGATTTCACCTTTTTTTTTCAACTAATTTTATTTTTCTGTCCTAAAGACTCTTAGAAATGTCCACATCTGCAGGGCATGAAGCAGTGTGCAACATACTAGGTTGCTCAGAGTTAAGAGTAAACACCAGTGTGAAATCCATGCTGGGGAAACTTGATACCTCAAGGAAATCTATAATAGGAAACCCAGCTCCTTGGGCCTGAACTGCTTTGGATTGCTTGGATGAATTTCGCTGAATCCTAGAGGATTTTATTGCTCTAGTTTAGATAGAAGAGGCTGTAGTAGAAAGGGACAGTTCCTAAAGCCAGCACAGATAAACAAATCTAAGATAGAAAATATAATGTCAGTGTTCCTGTGATCTTCCTCAATGGAATAGAAGCGTTTATGCTCGGACATGGTATTATCTTTCCTCTGAGTCAAAGTTCTGTGAGGTTTTTTGTTTATTTGTTTTTCTTTTTGAATGTTTTTCCATGCAGGCCTTAAAAGTAAAGTTGAAGATGAAAGAAGAGGAGAGGGCCCGGTTCCTGGAACAGCAGACCTTATGTAACGGTCAAGTAAATGATTTTACAACAGCCCTTAAGGAAATGGAGCAGCTATTAGAAATGTGATAAAAAGCAGTGGCTACATGGCTCCCTCTTGGGGATAAACTCTCAGAGGAAGCCACTAAGGACATTGCTTCTTGGCCATGATCTTCTAGGACTCACCATCCCCAGAATGAAAACATTTTCTGTAGCAGGATTAAGAACAGTTTGTGCTGAAATGGCAGTTCCTCCTTTAAGCAAGTGTTCCCAACCTTCAGATTGGTCAGCTCTTCTGAACCTCACATATTAATAATTGAGGTCTACAAGAGGGGGTCCTGAAAGCTTGGATCAACTCCTGAGCAACAAAGCAGCACACCGTTAGAATCAAGCGACTAAACCAGCCACAGCCAGAGGATCCAAAAAGTCACATTCAGATGTGCGGGAAGAAACCCTTAATTGTACAGTGGAGCACAGGTGCTCCATAGGCGACATGAAGGAGCCATGCTGACCTCTTCTAGCTTGGAGCACATTCTATCCCATCCTCACTGGGCTCTGTACCTCATTGTAAATGTAAGAACTTGAAGTTACTTGAAATGGCTTAATAAATGGGGCGAAGGTATAGATAGCAATAACACCTACCTGAAACAATACACCTTGGAGCTTTTAATCTAAATCACTTCTGGTGGTTTTTTTTTTTAAATATAAAGTGCTACTTTTAAAATAAATATTTCTGTAACTGGATTGTAACATTGAGAAATGAAAATAGACTTTTAACCTAAATATATTCACTGAAAACTATTGAACTAATCTA